GGGGTTTGACTGCTTCTTAACCCATTCAGCCTCAGTACTGATGGTGAAGAGCCAGTGGCTGGAAAGAGCTGTTTGTACTCTAAAATGTCATCAGAAAAGGGATCAGATTATTCCTAAACAGAACATTTTCTTCGGCTGTGCTAGGCTTAGAGAAGATACAGCTGTTTTTTATTTTTGTTGTTGTGTCAAAGCACTGATGCACTACAACTCTGTTTTTCTTGATATATAAATAAAAATGTATATATAAAAAGAGGATATATTAAACTAAATCAATTTACAAATCCCTGTATTGCTTTATTTAACTTTTTTTTTTCTATCTGGAAAGTTCTTGTGTCTCTTGAGACATCTATCTGAAAAGCATACATTCAGACTAAACTTCTTGCTTAACAAACAAAGCAAAACCAAAGCAGTTCTGGATTTTATTTTTTTATTATTTTTGTTTTCTGACAAAGAATGTTCTGCCCTGTATGTTGTTGCAACAATGTACCACTTTGGTGAATATTGATATTTTTTGTTGAGGTTCTTGAACATTTCTTGAGGTTCTTTCTAACCTTCGTGCTAGCAACAGCAGATTTAGTGTGTGATAGCTTAGCATTATTTTTAATTGAAAAGAAAACATTAAGTCTCTGGAGGAAAACAAAAAAAAGAAGATTTGCAGTTTGACAGGGGACAGTTTTAAGCTTTCCATACCATTTGAAAAGATACACACTGAACTTTTACTAGTAAAATTAGTTTATTTCTGCGTGTGATAATTACACACATCTAAGCTATTTTAGATGTGGAATCTAAACCACTTTCTCTTAGTATCACTTCTCAAATCATTTGCTGACGTCTTAAGGCATGTTACTTAAACATGATGATTGTAACTTTTGCAGGTTTCTGTAGCTGCATCAAGTGCTGGAAGAGGATCTCCAGCTGTAACTCTAGTGCAGTTGCCTTCTGGTCAAACTGTTCATGCCCAGCGTGTCGTTAAAGCCACACAGCCCTCAGTCATTCAGTCACCACACATGCAAGCTGTTCAGGTCAGCTCTTTTATTGTTAATGTTTGTCATGAATATTTGGTGCCTGATAACTCTTCCCCCCAACCTCATCTTCATTTTCTCTTCATTCCTGTCAGTGCTGCAAGACTTAGTCATGTGGTGCGAGAAACGGGGAGGAGGGGAAGGTGGCAAACTGCCAGCCAGTAGCAGCTCTACAAGCATTGTGTAGCGATTCCCTAATGCTTCCTGTTTATCTTTTAAGAAATTGTGTTTTGGAACCCTGAACTTATGCAACAACAAATGTGTGTAATAACGTGACTTTACTTTAGTGTATCTCACAGTTTTTCTGGTTTGTTAAATGCTTTGAACATCATGTTTCTAATGATACTACGAGCTTATAAATTTACAAGTATATCATATTGTATTTTTGGAGAGGCTCTGGATGTAATGGAAGTAAACATATTATAGTCAGATGATTCCTTGTTCTTTTTAGCAGGCCCTGTTAGAGTATCTGGTATTGCTTTTTGTGGGTGTGGATATGTAAATACCAAAACCAAGGGCAGCCTCAAAATAAATATTTATTTGGCAAATCTTCACGTGTAAAGTTGCTGATGTTAGAAAACAGGGACCGGTGCAAAATGCTTATCAGACCTTTTAAATAGTGAGAAAGTTAAATAGTGAGTTTTCAGACCTTTTAAATAGTGAGAAAGACTAGAGAGAATGCACTTGCAGTGTTTTGCAAGTGACTTGGCCTCTCATTGCTCTTTTTCTTGTAGTGAAGAATGCCTTCACTCTAGTTTTCTTAAAATCCGATTGTGGAATGTCAACTGAATTGCTTTTTGCAAATAGAATTGACATCTCTGGTAAGAGAGACTGTACACCAGAGTTAAGAGTTTCACCTGCAGTCATTGTGACATGTTAAGGAAAAGACATGCGTTGACAGTTGGCTTGAGAAGCCACCTTTAGTGTTTGAGACATCTTAGTAGCTTTCAGGTATAATAAATAAAAAGGCGTATGTAAGAATGATTTATCTTAGAGATAAAGAATTTTTAGAGAAAAAGAATAAAACCTTGGCTAGATAGTGAATATTTTATTTATAAGCAGTAGGTGTAGATGATGGCACCCGGTAAGGTTTTGAAATTCTAGATCACTGTTGAAACAAGCACAGCAGATGGCAAGGCTCTTAGGTTTGGTCAAACTTGAAGTCAAATGACAGTATTCAAAATAAATACCTTTCTAACTGTAGTTTACCAGAGTGAACTTTTTCAGATAAGCATATTACAGTCATTCCCAGTTTTGGTCACTGCTTTTCTTCAAGTCAGTTTAGTCAGGATATACATGCAAAAATAGAGGACTTGCTCCAAAGCTCAGAAGGAAGGATTTCTCTGGAATCCCTTGCCAGCTGCTTCTGTGCCTTCTTAGGGAAGTGGAAGTTGACTATTTGTTGTATTGCGTGAACTCTGACTGTCTTCCCTTCCCCAAAGGAGTAAAGACAAAAAACTGTGTCCTGATTAATACTGACTAGTTAGTGCCAGGGTTTTGCTTTTGGTTCATTTGAGCATGCTACCGGCAAATAAGGTGACTCTACAAGAAGGGCTTGGAAGATGCTGTAAAAGACTCCATTACAGAGATTGTTCAGCCCTTCTGTGATCCTCTTAAGTACTTTATCCTGCCACCTGGCATTTCCTCCAGATCATTTGGCTTTAACTTGATATCCTATCGCTGCCAGACAGTGGAGAACTTGGGAAATGATATCAGTTTACTTTAGTTTTTTGAAAAAAAAAAAAAAAAAAAGTATGCTGAAGGTTGATGTTAAGGCTTGCATGACCTCTCCCTCAAACACCTGCAGCTTTAAACTGGAAAATGTTCACGTTTTTTTCTTGTAGTACTGTTGCTTTCGGGATGAAAAAAAAGCTGCCTATCTATATCATATCCCTTACTGTTTTGTTAATGTTGTTTTACTTGTAGGAAGATTTGAAGTTCAGGTTGTTGTTTGACTTTTTTACTTGCCCTCCCCTGTAATGTAGCAGGTATTGGCAGACTAACATGAGCTTGAAGTTAAACTTGTTCAAATACAGAGTGGTGTGGGAAAGTTGAAGTCTGAATGACGTCCAGGAAAAAATGACAATGGTTTCCATTGGCTAGCATTGTGAACATGGTTGCTTGCTATTAGAACAAGCTGAAACATTAAATTTATCTCTTTGTCTTGATGAAAGTTAGAACTTTCGAAATTTCTTGCAGAAAATACTCTCTTCCGCATTAAAATGCTTAAATAATCTTGTGATTTTCTTACCTTCTTCCCAAAGTACAACTCTTCCTGACTTCTTCAACCATCTTCACGAAATAGGGATGCCCGTTGGCAACCCCTAGTGAAATGTGAAGGTTTAAAGGCACTAAGTTCTTGTTTTCCTTTTGCATGTTCGGACAAATAGATTTCCTCTTCCCCGCCCTCCCCTGCAGAATGAGTTCTGTTTTGAGATGGAATGCCTGGGCTCTCACCTGTGTAGTACTGTGTTAGTTTTGAAGGTTTGTGCCAGGGGCATGAAGGTCGATCCAGAAGCAGATCATTGTAGGGCACTGGAGAGAAATGCCTTTCAGAAGGTTCTTTGCTGGTCAACATGGGTCCATCCTGCAAAAGGAATCACACAGACTTGGAGCTCTTGTATCTCTGCCAGTCAGCTCTGCAGTCTGTTTTGGAAGATATACATTTGTGGACACGTAGATGTACCTCTCATAATTTCTAGGTGTTTTTCTTTAGTTAGGTAGGCATGGAGATTTAATGACATTTCTGTCATTAATGAGGCTACATTGGATATTTTTACACAGAACTGGAATGTAATGAAATTAACAAGAAAAGAAATAATTTCATTCTGCAATAACCTGTAGTTCTTTCAAGGTGTAGTTTTACAGGTTTGAGTTGGGTAACCCAGGCCTGTAAATTTCTAGAAGCTTCCAGCCAGTCATTTTGTGTTGGGATTGTGCAGGTTTTGTTTCTAGCACAGAGCACTCAGGCCTGACAGCCGCAGTCGTGGTAGAGCTCTGCCTTGACTTCCCCAAGCTGCAGGTTGAGCACTTGAGCCTTCTAGTCGCTTAACTCATTGTTTGTTCAGTGTTAGCTTAACCCAGCACTTAGTCTGGAACTGCAGTCTGGTCTGTCTATGTGAAAAGGTCATTTTCCACACTAACTTAACTGTACTATTTTAGTTCGGAAATCTTACACACCAATAGTTCTAAGTAGTTAAATGAATCAAGAAAATAGCATGTTTTCCGTGTTCAGTAATCACTTTCAGTTCTATGTAATAGGATAGTTGGTGGTAAAGAGTGTGATTCAGTTCCAGGCGTTAATGTTGTCTTGGGTAATTTTAAGAGAAAAAGAACCTGTGAAAATGCTACTAATAAAGGTCTGAGAAAATGAGACGTGGTGGACTTGTTGGAGGTTTCTAAAACTCGCACAGTATTGCTAAGGAATGTATTTGTATTTATGAATAGGTGTTGGTTAAGTGTAATAAATGTGTGTATTTAAATAAACTTATTTTCTACATAGCTTTACTGTGGTCGTGAAGAGGCTTCTGTATTGTATACTGTTACTTAAGGAACATTAGTGCAGTATTCTGTATTTTAAGTGTTTAATTTCACTTTAAAAGCTAATTGAATTGTATAATATTTTATATTTAAAGAAATCATCTGTCTTCAGACCTTTTTCTAGCTGTCATTCACAAAAGAAAAACCTGGATTATTTTGAATTTTTTTTTTTCTTTTCCAAATGGACGATGTCATCTAAGTGGCTATGTGTTGCTAACCTCAGAATTTGTGATTTGCTTTGTAAAAAGAAGCCCAAGACCACATGATTAATGATAAATTAGTGCCCAAACTTCCTGTATGCAAACATGGAAGGAATTTTTTAAAATAATCTTTTACTCTGTTGCTTTTTATGCAATTAAAAAAAATAATCTTTTACTCTGTTGCTTTACTCTATATCTTTTTATGAAGTTAAAAATTTCAGAAACTTTGCTATTATAGGTACCATCAGTTGCAGATGAATCTGCAGAATCAAAAGGGATAACTGATTCTCAAAAACGTAGAGAAATACTTTCACGAAGGCCTTCATACCGGTAAGGACTTATTTTTGGTTTTGCTGATTTTTAAAGGCAGCTTATATGTTAGAGCAAAACTGTCTGATAAAGGCGAGTGACTTGAAATTCCATATCCATGAGAAAACTGAGTATATAAAATTGTTTACATTCATTTTCAGAAAAATTTTGAATGAACTCTCATCAGATGTTCCTGCAGTACCAAAGATTGAAGAAGAAGATAAGTCAGAAGATGAAGGAGCACCTTCTGGAATTTCTGCAATGGCCATGCCAACCAGCCTGTATCATACTAACACAGGGCAATACAGTATGTTTGCAAAGATACTATGTGATGTTGCAGAACATATATAGGAACAACTTTGTTTCTAAGAGTTCTGTAAGGAAGTAGAGATGTTGGATTTTGCTGAAGAAGAATGAGAGCTTCTGTATTTCTAAATAATTTAAATTTTTATATTTAATCTTTCCTCACATGGGCATTATAGACTTTTAGTCTGTTTCTTGTAATGTTTGTTGATTGATAGATTTAGTCCTTCTAGAACGCCCGAGCATTGAAAATGTGGACGTGAAGCTCAGGTGAAATGAAAAATGTGGACGCTTTTCTGTGAACGTTCAGTGTTACAAATCACTGTAGTTTTGAATTACTGTAATTTGCTATGTATTAGTGCTATTCATTACATGAAATAACAATTAATGAGTTAGATTTTTTTTTTAAGGTGTAAAGTTGGAGTATGAAATTCTTTCTTAACTTTGAATTTTCTTTCTTAAAAGAACAATGTCTCTTCCTCTCCAGTTGTCAAGTGTGAACACTTTAGCTGCAGAATTAACCTAAATTGGGATCTCCAACGTTTGATACTTCAACCAAACACAAGTTAAAAGTTAGATTCACAGTTCTGTCCTATAGATTTTTAATTTTTTTTTCTATTCCTGCATTTATGTTAAAAATGTTGCATAACTCGCTCCCCATAGCTTCTTTGGGCTTAGTCATATATCATCTAAGGTATGACTTTCTAATAACTCTTTTTTCAATTATATATTGGATAAAACTTCACTCCTACAGTTATTTTTTTTTCACGTCTTTTCATGTATTGTCACACTGAAATGCAGGTATTTTTGCTTTGGTGTAATGACAGGAAAATTGCTTAAGAAATGTGGTTTGTTTGTTGTTTTTTTTTCTGAAACAAGAGAACAGAGGAAGTCTGTTAAAACATTGCAACAGTATATAAAAGAGAATGGAATGGCTCTCTAGCTGTATTCTAGTCACCCTTAGAATTCTTCAGTTATTTTTAATTTATGCAACTAAAGTAATTATCAACTCTGAGCAAGCAGAATTCCTGGAATATAATCTACTCTTTCAGCATAGAAAGTGATTTTGTTTGGGCTCCTAGGCTGCTTTTCTTACCCATTCTGTGAGGTATAGACATAAATAAATGTCTACTTCATGATGTCCAGCACCTGGAGTGCTCTTTTTGGTGGACTTGTGGTCATGCTAAATGACAGTTAACTAGTACAGAATCTGGCAGATATCCTTGAGCAAATTAAATTATTTCATTTTTGAATTATAGGTCTGGTTTATGTTTAGTTTAAAAACAAATAATTTTTTACAGTTTCAAGGCTTAAAAAGTGCTATAGTGTCTGTACTAGGCTCTAGTGAGCCTCCAAACCTTTAGGATTCCTAAGAAATTACATGGTTAGATTTTTCAATTGTAGATTCCTCTAGTAAACCAGAGTTGTACTTTTACTAGCAACGTCTTGCAGGAGGTGATTCTTACTTCTTAATTGAGGATGTTTTAATTTGAACATAGCTATAAATCATAGTGACAAGGAAGCATATAAAAGAATAATGAAATTAAATTTTTGCTTTCTTATTCACTCAAACATTTACTTTGGAAAAATCAAACAGAGAGCATCATAGAATCATAGGATGATATGGGTTGGAAGGGACCTTAAAGATCATCTGGTTCCAACCCCCCTGCCGTGGACAGGGACACCTTCCACTAGATCAGGTTGCCCAAAGCCTCATCCAGCCTGGCTTTGAACACTTCCAGGGATGGGACATCCACAACTTCTCTGCGCAACCTGTTCTAGTGCTTCACCACCCTCATACTGAAGAATTTCTTCCTTAGCTCTAATAAAAATCTACTCTCAGTTTAAATCCATTGCCCCTTGTCCTGTCACTACATGCCCTTACATTGTGCTTAAATTAAAAAAGTGCACAAAAATTTAATTAAATCTTAATTTAAATTTTGCTTTCACATGAGCCAAGCATAGAAAATTTCTGGTTTATGCAATTTTTTCTTTGAATAAGTCATATTCATAGCCTAAAACATGTGCTGTATATTTAAAGTAATTCAACTTGTTAAATAAATTTTTAAACATAATGAGGCATTGCTTCAGCATGCAATGTCAACCTGCATAGGCTCTGCTGGTTCTGGCTCAAAAACTTTTGTTTTGAGAGCTTTGTCTTCCTGGAAATGGTTTTTCTTACCCAATTTATTAGTTCATTAATTTGATTTGTTTGTTTGTTTTGTGGGTTGGTTGGTTTTTTTTTTTTAAGTTAAACTTTTTAAGGTAAGATATCACACATCTTTTGCTGCAATGAAGTCTGTGTGTTCCCTCTACTTCTGGTTAGGAAAAATTACATCAAAATCTTTCTTAGGATGGTGGTCATTACCCTTAAATTTATTGCTTGCCAGAAAAATTTGATTTCAAGTTGAATCCAAGTGGTAGCATGGATGGTCATCTCCTTGCGGTAGAGAGGATCTTAATTTGGAGTTTGCCAAAGAAAGCTTGAGTGTTGACTTTCTAGTCCTTACACATACAAGGAAGGTTGCGCATAAAGCTTGTACAATGTCCCTGGCCGTGAAGAACTGGTCTTGCAGTGTCACTACAGCCATCTGTACTGTGTCCAGGTTTAAAACAGGTATCATATGTTACTACACTTGCTGATTCCATTTCTCTACTGTTCTCTCTGTTCCTGCATAGGAAAGGCAGTTTAGCTGAAAAGACAGTTTTGACTGTATAGTAGTGTCTGGATGTCTGGGATGACTATTTTTGGAAGAACTTGATACGTAAATTTTTCTGAAAAACGTATTTTTTTCTATTAGCAGAGTGATGGCTGTTCTTTGCTTTCTTTTACCAGCCAAAACTATATGTTGCCATGGTTTCCAAATATCTTTTTCCTCAGAACTTCTTGGATTTGGCTTATGGAATCAGACAGACTGACAGGCATGACCAGCTAGATAAAATGTCTTTCCCAGTTACCTCGATCAACGGGTGTGTTATCTTTCTGTGAGGGGAATGGATAGTTTTGCATAAGGCAGTATCTTGTCTGAGCCCCGTAGCCTGATCTGACTACAAACTTCCTCTGTTGACTGTAGTTCTGTCATGTTGGTTATTGAATACTGAAAAAAACCCCAACCTGGTTTGCCTCACCTGTGGTGGTGATCTAACTGCACAAGCGTTGTTTGTTCAGTTGGAGTCTGTGAATCAACCTCCCCCCCCCAGCTTTGCCTGCTTGTGTATATCTTCTGGATGCAGGGGAAATGAAAACTACTAGCTCTTTTGCCACTTGTTTGGTTTGCTTGCTGTCTTACGACAGGTTTTTAGCAATTGGAGAGTTCTTTTGGGAAATCTTTTGGGAAAGACTAAATTTAGTTGCTTTTTCCAGTTTTGGAAGGGAGAGAAAGATCTGATTTTTCTGTATTAGAGCTGTTGATCATACGCAGAGAATGGTGTTAGTATCATATTCAGTCATTGCTAGAAGAGAAGATGCCAGTTACATACACCTGCATGACGCAGAACTCCAGGGACTGTCCAGGAAGCTCCTGTACTCTTTGTAGAGGGCGAAGTTGCCTGTAGAGCTCCAGCACAACAAAAGTCTGTGCAGTGATTGAGATCAGGACAGTGAATGGGGTGAGGGCGGTGTGGTGTTCTGGTAACCTGGCAGGAATTAATCCTATAAGGGAGAGAGTTACTGGAGTTAGTTCACTCTTGTTTAGAAAGTAATGGATTGTAATCTGAACGAATAATTGCAGGACAGCTATAATGTAATTGTTTACCATTTTTGATGCCGACTCTGAGACACGCAGAATTCAGCTGTGTATAACTCCTCTGGGAGGTAGAGGTGACAAATCCTACTGGGAAGCTCACATGCTGCTGGGAACTTGCTCTTGTCCTAGATCTCATGAAGAATAGAGGAGACAATGGTTTATTTTTCTTCCTTCTCTCTTCCACCCTGCCCCTAAATGGGGCACTTTCTGCTTTGGAGGCCAGACTGATGCAACATGTTGCTTGGTTTTTTGGACTCTCCTCCTCCTCCTCCTCCTTCACTCAATGCCTTATGAAGTCTGCCTGCAGCACCCAGCTAGTTCCTACGTTACATGTTCCCTGTTCTGAGGGTAGGACTTGGAGGTTTATCCTGAACCCTGTTCCAGTATTGCAGGTGGGACTCAGTGCTTCATTCAGCATGAGAGGAATTACTTGTTTTCCCCCAGAAGAAGCTAATTTAGCTGCTGAGATTTGGCCATTTTGGTAGATAACTCTACTACGCTCTCAAAAAATTAACTGAGCTTCTAGTAGTTAGTATTGTCATTAGTATTTCAGTGCTCTTTGAAGTGTTATTATCTGATGTTGCCCTTTCAAGATAACTTAACTATTGTTAAGACAGAGTTTTTGAAATCAGCTGTCTTCAGAACACACATGAGTGTCTAACAAATCATGTACTCAGATAACCAGAGCTGAACCTTCCAGAATGTCATCAAATATTGTGAATCTGACAGTGAAATCAGAGAAGTTTGCAATCCTGAATCTATATTTATATGTGACTTGTTCTACTTAAGAGCATTTTAAATACAGTGACAATGACTGTAGTTTATATATCTCTTAGGGGAGGAAGAAGTCTGTTACTTCTTAGGAATTGGGTTCTCATCTAAAATTTCCAGGAGTATTTTAATTAACACAAGGGACATAGATTTGACAGGTGGAGCACTCGGTGGATAAGGAATTGGCTGGATAGTCAATGGCTCGATGTCTGGGTGGACACCAGTGACAAGTGGTGTCCCTCAGGGGTCTGCATTGGGACCAGTATTATTTAACATCTTTGTCGGTGATATGCGCAGTGGGATTGAGTGCACTCAGAAAGCTTGCGGATGACACCAAGCTGAGTGATGTGGTTGATACCTGAGAGAGAAGGGATGCCATCCAGAGGGACCTTGACAGGCTGGAGAGGTGGGCCCATGCAAACCTCATCAAGTTCAACAAGGCCAAGTGCAAGGTCCTACACATGGGTCAGAGCAATCCCAAGCACAAGTGCAGGCTGGGTGAAGAATGGATTGAGAGCAGCCCTGAGGAGAAGAACTTGGGGGTGTTGGTTGATGAGGAGCTCAATATAAGCTGGCAATGTGCACTTGCAGCCTAGAAAGCCAATTGAATCCTCAACCGCATCAAAAGAAGTGTGGCCAGCAGGTTGAGGGAGGTGATTCTGCCCCTCTACTTGACTCTCATGAAGACCCCACCTGGAGTACTGCATTCAAGTGTGGCGCTTCCAGCATAAGACAGACCTGGACCTGTTGGAGCGAGCCCAGAGGAGCACTATAAAGATGATCCAAGGGCTGGAGACAGGCTGAGAGTGCTGCAGAAGAGAAGGCTCCAGGGAAACCTTCTAGCAGCCTTCCAGTACTTGAAAAGGGTCTACAAGAAAGCTGGAGAGGGACTTTTTATCAGGGCGTGTAGTGATAGGACAAGGGGCAATGGCTTTAAACTGAAAGAGGGGAGATTTAGATTAGATATAAGGAAGAAATTTTTCACTCAGAGGGTGGTGAGGCACTGGAACAGATTGGCCAGAAAAGTTGTAGATGCCCCATCCCTGGAAGTGTTCAAGGCCAGGTTGGATGAGGCTTTAAGCAGCCTGATCTAGTGGAAGGTGTCCTGGCCCATGGCAGGGGTGTTGGAACTGGATGATCTTTAAAGTCCCTTCCAACCCAAACCATTCTATGATATTTCTGCTTTTAACAAACACAATGCTAATTTCAAAAGGAATACACAATTATTAACCTCTCTAAGGAATTTGATTTTTACCTAAATATTTAATTATTGTGAGCAATACAGTATGATTTTTTTTCAATGAGGAAAGTATATGTGTATTTTTCATATTGCTGATTTCATGGGGGGAAAAACCCAACTTTATTCTGTTTCTCTTTTTGCTTAAGTATTGGACTATTTACAGCTTTATACAACTTGGAAAAACATCGTTGAGTTAGACTTTTTCACACTAAGGAAAGGATTGTGAGTGTCAGAAAACTCGCTATTCCTTTGTCTAGGTGTCTTGGTTTTTGTTTTGTGGGTTTCAATAAACATAGCGTTTCATTTATTTAATTATTAAATTTACATTAGTGTTTAAAACGACGATTCTCTGGCTAGGAGCTACTGTTTTTTTCTTTTTTTTTTCATTAAAACTATTTTAGGAGAGTTAATATTTCTGGAAGCATAGAGATAAAACACATGAAACATTGCTTTTTGTCTGCTACACTACTCAACAGGCTTTGTATTTGTGGAAATCAGTATTAGCATTGTTTAAGTTTTGTTGTGCAATTGATCTTTTAGCACGTATAGGACCAGGAGTCCTATCAAACAATGTTTAGTTTAAAATGGGAGATGTGCTTTTAAAAATGTGTTATGTCTCTCTCTGTTGTCTAAATCTTTTTTTTTTTCCTTATGTTTAGTTGCTATAGCTCAAGGTGGTGCAATCCAGATTTCTAATCCAGCCTCTGATGGTGTCCATGGACTACAGGCGTTAACAATGACAAATTCAGGAGCTCCTCAGCCAGGTGCTACCATTGTGCAATATGCAGGACAATCACCTGATGGCACACAATTTTTTGTTCCTGGAAGCCAAGTTGTTGTTCAGGGTATGTTTTATAAGTCTACTGCATTTTAGTTTTTTCATATAAACCAATTTTTCTTAAAAGGCTTTTTATTTTGTGTTGACAATATTACACTTAAATATTTATGCTTAACTAGATGAAAGGCAGTCTTAGGAGGAGACTCGGTTCCTCTGCTCGGTAAAGCAGCTAATACTTTTGATTAAGAAAAGTTACGAGGAGGAAATAACAGTATAAAATCACTTCTGCTTTGAATTCCCTTGTCTAGACTTTGACTTACTTAATTGCAGTAAAGATGCTGTTACAGATTGAAACGAGATGCTGAGGCTGCGTCATATTTAATATATGAAACTAATTTGGTTTTTTTCAGCTGTTAATCAATCTTAATAAAATACAAGTTCTGAAGTTCTTTGGATATGTTTAGAGCGAAATTTTCTTGCAACTTATGACTCTTGTAGTTATTAGAAAGGAGATCCTTTACCGAAGCTAGTTTTCTCACAGAAGAACACTTTGTAGGTCCTATAAAATGCACAACATGTGAATTGAACTGTGAACAGAGAATTCTTGAACCTAACTGTAGTTTATGCAGGATTTTTTCCTTCCACTGTTCCCAGCTTTTGGAAATGCTGAGGGAGATTGAGAACCAAAGGTATCTTGAATTCTTATTGATACCAGGGAAAGTAGGATTGAGGTTTGGGTTATGCTGAGGAAAAACTTGGAAAATGGGGAAGAGCTTTCTGTATGTAGACACTAAATTAATGGCTGCCATGGACGATATAGGGAATTTATTTTCCCTTTTTCCTATTTTTTTTTAATCGGTACAGAGAAGTAGGGAGAGGGGGCTGTAGGAATGCATTCTTCAGTCAAATCAGCTATCTGAAGTAAAGCGTCAGAAGAGCTAGGAAGACTTTAGATATATATTCATGGAGTTGATGAGAGTCATTGACTAGACGTAGACACAGGTATCTGAGATAGTTGGTGAAGTCCAGGTTGAGGTCCTTTCTCCCCAGCCCCAATATGCATGTTTGAAATAAGTTCTGTCTTTAAGTGGCTGTTTCTCTCCCTTTGCTGTAAAGGAAACCCAGGATGTAAATAAAGCTAATAGCTTGTAGATATCTGAACTTGTTGAGACAATGCTAAATAATGATACCAAATTTGAATTCTTCCATTGCCTCTGGTTAATTCTTCGCTGAAATACATTGTCCTTCCAAGACTTTTCAGAGGCATTTCAAGGAAGCTTTAAGACTATAATATGAAAAACCCTAAACCAAAATGTTAGTTTTCATCACACAGAGTGCTATTGTAAGTGCTATTCTTAGCAAAGCCTTAAGACCCAAATTTGGTTGTCCCCAGACAAATTTCCTACTCTGGTAAAGTGTGTTTTCTGGGTGTAAGTCTAATATCCTTTCTATACACGTGCATACACACCCTTAAATTAGAGGACTTTTCTGTCTCTCGGGGTTGACTGTAGTGTTTTGTATGTGTTGCTTTGATTCTTCAGAGCTTCAGGGTGGGGGGGAGTGTGGGCAGAGAGAGAGTAGCTCCTTAGTTATTTCCCAAAACCTCCTCAGCATGTGAAGCACAGAACATAGCGATTGTATCTGACAGCATTTCAGTCCTTGGGAATTTAATTTGGCTGACCTTCCTTTACAGACTTTTTGTTACAGGGTTGTCCTCTGATGGCGCTGTCCTCCAGCCTCCCTATTTGATCTCAGTGATGGGCTCAACTACTTGATGGTGTAGCCCATTAACTGTCTTGCCTATGATGAAAACTTTCAAAACATACTCAGAGACAGTTGCTGAATACCTGCTATATCTTGTTTCTGGAAGCTTCTAAATATTTTTAACTAAATTGATTTGTTCTCTGTCCACGCTCAGAGAAATTGGCTTCCTGGAGTTCTCTGTTCCTTTGGCCCAAACAAAAGCCAGTGCTTTAGTGATGCTCATAGATGTTGACACAAGAAAAATGCTACATAACAGGTACAGGGAAAAATACAAAGAGAATAGTAAGTGAGCTTGAACTCACAGATAATAAGAAGATAAAATATTTCAACTTAATATGCATGCTAGTGATACTGGAAAATCTTTTTAAAGAAAAATCTTTAATTAAAAAAAAAATATAAAAAGAGTATGAAAGCACCTGAGGATGTTTATGATAATACAGATCTCTTTACGATAAAAATTGTGTATCGTCAACAAACCTGAGTTATTCAGCATGGAGTGAGACAATGGAATTAGTTGGATATACAAGTGTCTAATATGTCCTTACTACAGGTCATCTTGCCTGTGCTAAAAGGTCTGTAGGAATATAGTTTATGAACATTTGTCGTTTATATACGCTTTGTAGTTGACTGTTCACCTAATATTGTGATAGCACAGGTTATAATAGGAAAGCAACATTCTGCTTGGTAAACTTTCCACTTATGTATGTTTTTAGAATGATTTTGTGTAGACAGCATATACATTTTATTTGTAATAATCATAGAAGTAAAAGAAAGAAAAAGAAAAATATAACAAATATCAGTCCTAGGGCAGAAAAGATCTGTTTCAGAATCTTTCAGATAGCATATGTATTTGTATTTTTTCTGAAGAATTTGTTGAGAATCTCATGTAATAATGGGTAGCATCACATAAACCCTGTACTTGATATTTCCTGGTAACCTGTGGTGCGGAAAAACGGTTAGTATAAAAGCGACAAAGGTGTTGATCCAATGGAGTGATATTTAATTTGCTACAAGTTTATAATCATAGGCAAAATAAGAGGCGGTTCTGATGTCCTGGCAATTTCCTTATACAGATTAAGGGTTTTTTTCTAGCTGAAGCAGAAGAAAGTGTTTAATTATTAGTGAAAATGAGTGTAGAAAAGTCATATCAAAAATAATTAGCTTGGGATCTATGTGTGTTTTCATAATTTGGTCAGTGACATGAACAATGGTATTTCAGAGATCTGTAGCTTGAATTTTTTGCATGCTGCAGTTCTGGTCATCAATTCAAGTGATCCTGAAGTGGTCGTGTAATCACAGGGTGCTTCTTTTTTGCATTGATGCTTCTTTTATTGCTGTCCTTAGCATAGTTTCACACTTGATCAATTACCAGTCTGACTTTGTTTGTTACAGACAAAGGCCTTAGAAGTTTGCTGTGCCCTACATACAGACGGGTGCCTGGACTGGTCTGAAACTAATTAAATTAATGTAAATAAAGAGTAACTCCCTTAGAGCTGAGATTTTTTTATTTTTTAAAAGGAGGGAAGTGGGAAGAGGTAGCCCTTTCCAGCGTTACTGTTCTGCCTGTTGCAGCACCTGAAATCACTAGTTTTTAACTGAAATTAAATGAGTGGGTTGTGGGTTCCTGCCCACTGCAAGGAGCTTTAGCCTTTCATTTACCCATTTGTTACAGCTTATTAAGCTTTCCTGTCTTGCACGTCTGTCCAACAGAGCGCTCTGCCTCTTAGTGGAACTGCTCCAATCAAAACAATTGCAAGTCTTTTTAAAATTTCCCTGTTTTCTATCCAATCATGACTTTATTGTTCTGATTCATTCATGAATTCTAGAGCCGTGTTTTAATTTCTGTCAGTGCTGTGCATTTTCACGTTTTGCTTTGCAGCCAGCTTGTGGTGAGTGCTTTCTGTAGCTTTATGAATAATTCAGGGAAAAAGAACAAAGGCAGGCATATAGAAATATGGAAGAGGAAGGAAAAAAAGATTTACTGGAAAAGTTCTTTGGGCTGCAGTTTCAGTGAGCTGTTCCAGTGACAGCATATTAATGACAGTGGTAAGCAAGTGAGGTCACTGTGATGTCAGTGCTCTTGCTTGTAATCCTGCACATGCTTGCTAGTTTGGAACAGTTCATGCTGAGCTCTGACAGAGGAACAGTAGAATCGTGTGTGCAGAAGCTGATCATGGCTGTAACAGGAGATGAAACAGGTAAAAATTTTATTAGTCTGTTACATGATGTTTTTGCATGTTTAAGCAGTGCTTAGTTGGTATTTGTGACACTTTCTTTTGAACTTGTTGCTGTAACTCATCTTTCAAAACTGGTACAAATAGCTTCTGGTTATGTCTGGTCAGTGCAAGATTTCAGGGCAATTTTAACAGCTTCATTTGCGGGGGGGGGTGGGTAGAAAATCACTGTTAGTGCATGAGTTCTTGCACAGATTGATCCTGATAACTCTTTAGTATTTGATGCACAATTGTGCTGAAAAATCCACCATTCTACTTTTAAATCCTTCATTATTGTGGACATAGTAATATGTTACTATGTTTATAATTGGTTTTTATTTTGTACAAATGACACTGCTTTTTTGTTTAGCAACAAACAGTTCAGATTTGCTAGCTAAAATAGGCTTAAGTATAGCTGTGAGAGAAAGGTGTGCATTGGCTCAGTAGTGTGAATAAACCCTACACTTTCCTTATTATAGAAAATACTGAACACAAATTTGAGAAAGCAGCAATTTTAAATACTGTAATGCCTGCTTGTTTTCTCCTCTACTGTTAAAATGGTCTGTTCCTCAGCTAATTGAGTTCAAAAGGCTGACGTCATTAGATTTCCTGGAATCGTATTGCACTAGGGAACTGGAAAAGTTAAACTCCAAACAAGATACACATTGACGTCAGCTCCAAGTCATGCTGCGATTTAGTCAGTTCCTTTCTGCTTCGTCAATTGCCTCCGGCAGGTCTGTAGTGTTAACCAGTTCGCACCCGGCACCTACGTGCTGCTGCTCTTTGCTGATACATACTGTTTCATTAATCCAAAAATCCAAAGATAAGTATCTTCTCGAAGTCCGTGGTTTGTTTTCTTTTCGTGCTCAGAGAAATAATGATTCGTGCCTTGTTTAGCCAGTTTACTGGTGAAGTTGAAACCCCTTTGATAATCAAGTCCCGTCATTATGGCTCACAGAAGCGGGGGAATAGACATTCTAATACACAGCATGCGTCAGGCTTTTTTTCTCCTGGATAGTCACTGAAAGAACTCAAGTGCAGGGGTGCTCTCTAGTGTTCAGCAAGTTACTTCTTCCAAGAACCTGCTGGTACAAGGTGGTTGATTTTTTTTTTTTTTAATTTTTTTTTTTTTCGATTTTTTTTTTTTTTTTTTTTTTAAATTTCTCAAGAGCTTTATTTACAAGCTTAGTTGTACTCTTGCAAATGTGGTTTGGGGTTTTGGTGGATTTTTTTTTTTTGTCTTCCTGTTAATAATTTCCTTTTTGTAAGTCTCAACTCAAAGCTTCAGGTTTTCGGTGACTGTTTACTCCCTTGCAGGATTTTACTCCCTTTAAGGAGAAACGAAAAAACAGATGACCTGGGGCAATGTGTTAGGAAATAGGCCATCTCGAGGTTTGTTGCTTTGTTAACAGTCTCAGTCCTACTTCTGATATGTTAGGAATGACTTTAAACCTCCATGGACTTTCATTAGAAACGACCATAGAGGTTTGTCAGTGTGGGTCAAGGTGCATGGGATTTTTGTCTCAGATGCTGGAATGGAAGGTGCCCTTCTCTGTAATGTGTAGATACGTTAATAGACTTAAACAATGAATTTTTTCAAGGATATTTTATCCCCCACTGCTTAAAGCCAGTTTGATCTTTCCTGATGTATTTTTCAGGGCAAATAGTATGTTACTGTAACTTTTTGAGATACTGGAAAAAAGTTTTGCAGACTTGAAAATAATTGACTTGCAATAATATATCATAAAGCACATATTACTGCACAACTAGAAGATACTTTGTCAATGCTGTGTTATTTGTTTGTTTGTTTTAACTGCAGTGTCTGGGTTCACAAGCTCTGTACTGCAAAATGGTTATTTGTCTTTGTTAACCAGGCCAGTAGGTTTATAAGTGAGCCAACTGTTGGGCAGGGACAGACACTGCTGGAACCTGGTCAAACTATCCATGCAACATGTTGTTACTTACAGTGGTGTTTGCTGATCCCTGCTGAGATAGGGACTTACTTTTGTTAAGCCATGTTGCAGATACATAATCACACTGAGTCTTCTTAACAGCAACAGTAAGCCCTGTTAGCAAACATCTGAGTGTAAAGACAACCAAGTAGTTGGTCTTGTCAGGCTGAGGTGACCTCGGTATGGATCTTTCCCTGTGACTTAATCTACAAAATGATTCACTTGGATTTCTAATTCATTGTAGCTAATGCAAACTAAGATAACGTCTTTTTTTACCTAGTGATGAGAGAAAAAGGTGGCTCTTACCATAGAGTCTATAAAACGTATGTAATGTGGCCAGCATAAAGGTGATCCTGAAGACCTTCTGAAATTCAATTTTTATAAAGAGTGAGATGAAGTGTCATCCTAGTGACATAACTGGGACTACTAACAGACGTGGAGAACTTAAGGAAAGGATTAAGTAATTCTGTGGCAGATATACAAGAAGACCAAGCCCTGTGTTCATGGTGGCTGCCTGTTAGTGCTCACAGGGCTGTCCAGGGTTGATTTCTCTATCCCTCCCCATCCTCAGGGGATTACCCATAACCCAGGTCAGTTCACTGGTCCAGTTTGTCTTGTAAATCCACAAACATTTTTACCAGGAGGACTGAGGTCGGAGGGAGATGTAAAGTGTTTAAGCTAATAACGATTTCAGGACATGACTGGAATTGTAGTCTAAACACAACTTGATCCTATTTTTTGTATTTAATTAGTGAAGTACCTGCATGAACTTAATAAGAAAAATAGCAATTTTTTTATTAAATTCAGATTTTAATTTGTTTTTTTCCCCTTTGTAGTTGACTGATACCTCTTTACTGTTCTACCTGTCAGCCTCCCCAAAGTGTTTTTTTTCTACATTTTATTTTTCCAAGTTTTTTCCATTATTTGAATATTGCTTTAAAGAATTAAAGTATGAATTGAGTATAATGTAACAGCCCCTGAATTTTCATATTTTATATTAAATTGCTTTAATGAAAAAAATTGAAGTTTTGTTCTGTGATAATATAAAATATTTATGGAAAGGAATTCCCCCTCGTGCCCCCATGTCACACAAGACACAAGTACTTCGGACTTTCACAGTGTGTTGAAGTTGGGGTACATCATGTAGGAACAAAGTACCTCAGGAACAGAGAAATGTGTTGAGACTATCAGAAAGGTGTTGGTTCCAAATAACACGTCAGATTTCACACCTATATTTAGCTTGGGGAGAGCTCAAAATTGACAGGCTCAGGAACTGAATCTGAACTTCTGCACCCTGATTTACTGTGTAACCACACCCCTGCCTGTGCAACCACGCTACCTGCTCTTGCCTGCTAATGCTGCAGCATCCTATCTGTGGTCCTCTTGCTCAAGGACCATACTCATGTTCACCATGAGCATTTAGCTGTTCTGCATCATTTTGGCAACAGCAGCTCTTGCTGGTTTTCCAAGGATTGCCAAGCTGCTGCTGTAAAGGGAGGAGAGGCTGTAAGGCTAGTACTGTTGCTATCACAGGGAAGGGGGAGAAAATTGACTCCTCAAGCAAGTTGACTCCTGAAGCCGCTGTTACAGGACAGGGGTAGCATAAACCTCAGTGGCTGTAACAGCAGGACCATCTTTTTGTGGGATTATGCAAACAGGAAGTAAGTGTGGATGCTCTGACGGTGTTTCTCAAAAAGCTTTCCCCATGTTGTCTGAAAAGGGCCATGTGGAAACTTTCACAGGCTTCAGTCTGGCTTGCTGGTGGGGCCACATGCTAGAGCAATTTAGATAACTTATTTTATGGTGTGGAAATAAACACTAGTAAGATAACAACTATAGTTGTGACATTATAGGCCTGTGAAATATTTTATGTAGTAGAGATCCTGGATAACTTATCAACAGAAATCTGTTATTCTCAGAGAGACTTTTGCATGGGTTTTTTTTGCCATAAAGTTTAAAATGTGATTCTTTTATACAGCTGCCACTGCAGACATGCCAGCTTACCAGCTTCGAACTCCCACTACTACCTTACCTCAGGGAGTGGTCATGGCAGCCTCACCAGGGACTTTGCATAGCCCTCAGCAAATGGCAGAAGAGGCAACACGCAAGAGAGAGCTGAGACTTATGAAAAATAGGTAAGACTATGTAACAAGTAATAGTGAATGTTGCAAAAAAAACCCCAAACATTCTAATGAAGTCATGAGCGCTGCCTTTGATTGACAAAGGGAAGGTAAATTCTTTGTCAGTCATCCCACATCCTTATAGTGTTGATGAGTACTGACTGTTAACTCTGGAAAGTTAGAGTATCACCATGGATTTTTAGTTCTAAAATATTATGATAATTCAGAAATCAGTACTAGTGTTGTCCCTTTCTGAGAATTTTTGTGATGATCTGGAGATATACTTATTGTTGAATGTTTTTTTATTTTTTTTTCCCTTACTGACAGTAAAATGACCAGTATGGGTTTGTTCATCTTGAAACATCCCAGCAAAGAATTGGTTAGGAAAATATCTGAGGATCTCATTAGCAGCTGTCCATTATTGATGCTGTGAAGAGGACTTATTCTAGGATGGAATGATAATTATAGACTTTTCTAAATACCCGGCTACTGGGATAAGTTGTTGTGCAGTGCCCCTGTCATTCTGTGAGGCATTTTCTGTGAGGTGGCTGTATATTTTTTAATTAGTTGACATGGACTTGACTGTATGCTGTAAATGCCAGTCTTTCTCTCTGCATTCTTCTTGCTAGTCTTAGGGGACTCTTTTTTTTTTTTTTTTTAAAAGGAAAGCCACTGCTATCAATGGCAGTTAGATTCATGGAAGAAATAGTCTGCTATGCAGATCTCGAGTACGTTGAATAGCCACTTGCTTTATGATTGAATTCATGGTATTGCTTTGCTCTCATGCCTGTCCTTTATTTAAAATTACTCATGAGGGTTGCGGCATTGTTGTGCTTCCTTTTGTTTCTTCTCTCTTCAGTTTTAAAACTAGCATCTGTGCTCTCTCTCATGTGTCTTGCTGGAAAGTTACACTCTCATAATTTGAGAATTTATCATGTTCCGAGATGTTAAAGGAGTGAATTCCCAGTACTTCTAAAATTTCTTCTGGAGTCGAATGCTTGTTCAGTCACATGCTCCTGAAAATACTACCCAAAGTGTTTAGCTTGACTATAACAGAATTCTGAGCAGAGCTATGAGAATGGCTCCAGGCTGCCATTTGCCAGCAACAAAAAAGTCCTCAGATGTATGTGACTGAAATGTGCCCAGGTGGACAGTTCTAAAATGCTAATAAATTGTATTTGTTTGGATTTAAATTTTACTGTAGATTGTTGAATTAAGGTAAAAAAATTACAGCAGGTTGTAAGCTTGGCATCTTGCTTTTTATCTGAAGAGAGTAGTGTTATGCTTGTATTTTCTGAAAGTAAATCCTTTAGCTTTTGTTTTAAGATTTTGATTGCAGAAGATACTACTCCTGATAAACACACAAAATGGAATGTGACTGGTAGAAGTGCTGTTTTCAGTCTTAATGTTTAGTACTGCTCAGATCAATACGTTTTCATTTACTCACTGTTTTTCTCAGTTCCTCTGTGTATTAATTCCATCTTTGTAATTGTTTATGCTGAATTTGTTTCAAGTTTGAGTTGTTTTGAATTGTATTTTAACCATGTTATTGCTTTTGGCTGTTATCTGCTGTTCTGTTTGTGCAATCCAACAGTTGATGGTGGTTGTTGTTGTTATTGTGGAACTGCAGGGATTGCAGGTAATTTCATTTATCCAGTCTTTGCCGTATTGTGGCTGTTCCTGTAGTCATTTGCCTTGTATTGGTTACAGGGAAGCTGCCAGAGAATGTCGCAGAAAGAAGAAAGAATATGTCAAATGTCTTGAAAATCGTGTGGCTGTGCTTGAAAACCAAAACAAGACTCTCATTGAGGAACTCAAGGCCCTCAAAGATCTTTATTGTCATAAAGCAGAATAACTGTCTTTCATTTGGACCTTGTTTATTATGAACCTTTAATCAAGGCATGAGAGGAAGCAATTCTACAGATTGCCATATGAACTTGAGAAAGAGACACTTGAGGCCCTTGTGGAACCCAGTTTTGCTTAGTGTTTTCAGACTGATTTGGGAGATATTGCAAAATTTGGAATCCTATCCTAGTCTCCATACTCTGCTGAGCTTTCTAATGGCATGCAAATGGCTTTTTTGTTTGCACTTTTTACTTCTGCTTTTTGCAGGGAAGCTGCTAAAGAATGTCGACGTCGGAAGAAAGAATATATACAGTGTCTGGAGAGTCGTGTTGCAGTGCTAGAAGTTCAGAACAAGAAACTTATAGAGGAGCTTGAAACCCTAAAACACATTTCCTCTTCCAAAACAGATTAGTAAAATTATTTATTATACTGTGAACTGACTAAAATATGTCTGATTGCTTTATAAGGCAATACATAGCCAACATGAATTATGCCTTTCTCTGTGTCATTTATATTATATTCCAACTTTTAACATTCCTGAAATGCTTTCCTGCTTTTTGTCAATTTGTAGCTAATTTCAGGTTTTTCATGCGCCTCCCTTCCATCTCCCAAGGAGCCAAATGTTAAAAAACTGTAAGAAAGTAAAAAAGCGTGTAATTTCTAAGAGCTGTTTCTTTGCCATGTATTTGCATACTACTTTATACATGTTACTGAGTGTCCTGCACATATGACATATTTTACAATTGTTTTAGATGAATCATAAAGATAATGCGTCCAGTAATACAAGAAAATCAAACAACCTAAGGTATCTCAGGAAAGAGTTTATAAAAGAATGTTATGATTACATATATGTACTAGCATACTAGTCTACAGATGATTTTATGGCATATTTTTATATTAGTTGCTTTGTGGAAAAAAAGTATTGTATTGCTGTCACTGACTGCCATGGTTAAAGATAGTTTTTAATAGAACCCTCTTGTTTAACTTGTGTAGTGTCTGATTTCCTTCAAACATCTGGTTATTTGAGATGCTTTAAAACCCATGAATATCTGGAGGAAGACAAAGGGGAAAAGCGTACCTAAACTTGTGACATGATGTTAAGTATATTGTAAACACCTGAAACAAGCTGCTATTTACTTGAATTTTCTTTAGTCTGTAGAATGTTTGATTTATTAGAGGTCTATATATCAAAATTCAATCTTGCATCCTGAATACTTCGTGTTCTAGATTCTGGACAGTGGTAGACAGTTGCCTGTTGCAAAGGCTGATGGTGTAGTTTCACACTTTCTGCAAAGTACTGAGAGGAAGTAAAGGGGACTTAAGGAAGCTTTCCAATAAACAGTAGCTATCTGCTGATTCAGAGGGTTCCAGAATAGCCTATAGGTAAGAGCTGAAAATTTTTAAAAATAAACCCATGCTTAAACCACATTGAAGTTCAGATACATGCAGTACATGCAAACTTTCCATTGTGCTTTGAAAGAAAATAGTGCTTCTGCAAAATTGCTTCTTGATATTTCTTTAATTCAGGAAGGAGCTAACTGACTGTTGGCCAGTACAGTCTGTGAGCAGAGCATTCCGGAGCTTTACTGGTGATTTGGTTCCTACTGAACTGGCTTTACTGGGGAGAGTGTGTATGTCTGGAGGAGGGGAGGGATGGAATCATACTATTGCTGAAGTCACTGATACTTTTTGACTTAATTTAGACTGAATTCACATTTAACCCAATCTTCACTCTCACACTGTTGGGGTGGGGGTTGGGGAGTGTGTGTGTGCACATTTATTATTTTCTTTTTTTTTTTTTAAATCTGCATTTTTTAACCTTTCCTGAATTACTTGAAATACAGAGGATGACTTTCTTGAATCTTTTGAAAGGTACCTAAGTGAGACCATTTGTAAGAAGAGACAATCTCACTTCCCACAGCCACATCAGTTGATTTTAAAAAGGTAACAGGCTGCCTTTTGGACCCACAGACTCTGCTTCAGGTCTGGAACAAAAGTACAGCAAACTCTGAAACATCTATTTCACTGTGAAAATACACCTTAAGTGCTAAAGCCAGCAGAGGTCAAAGGTTTTGTAAAAGTTGGGCAGGACGAGTACAGTCTGTAGGTCCGTGTTACAGCCTCTAGACTGCAACGAAAGTGCCCGGCAAGTTGTTTGTTGTGACTCTATTGCTAGAATCTGTTTTCTGTTCCAGGTAGTCATTGCTCCTGACTTTCAAGGGGTTTGGAAACTTAAGAGGAAAGAAACTTGGGTGCATGGAGGATGTCTCCCAGTACAAACTTCTCTTATCATTATCTTTTCAACAGTATCTGGTACTAACTATAGTTCGAAATTTGATAGGAGGAATCCTTGTCTGTTCCACATCTATGTAGTCTACAGTTATTTCTTTGCTAATACTTTTAAAACATTTGATTAATGTTTATTCTTTATTTAAATAATTACTTGAGGGAGGGTGTGCTTTGTTAATAATGGGAGCTAAACTCAAATGCTCTTGGCTTGTGTTTTGTCATTCTGGAAGACTCCATTTGATATGTTAATCTGCACCAGGGCAAGTATCCTGCATCAAGAAAAGTCAACTGCACAAAAGCTGGCTTGTTTAGACTAAGACTCAGGAAAAAGAAATGTTTATGATGTATTATTCTTTCACTCTCAGTAATTCAGTTTGGTATAGCATTAATTTCAACAGAATTAACAATACACATTTCTGTATTTTAAAGTGAGAATGAGTCTGTTGCTGAATAAGAACATTTAAGATGTACAGTTGGTAAATTAGAACCAAGTTGCATCTTGTGGTGAAGGAAATAACTTATTAGAAAATGAGCAAAGGCAGGCCTGCACAAATGCCAAGAATCTGTTGTCAAATTGCTACTGTGAAAATTCCTCCTTAAAAGAATGAATCCAGTTCTGGATTGGTTTGAGATGCATGTTGAAAACTTTGAGAGAGACTTCTCGGAGGTTAAATGAAGCTCTGAAGGAAAACTCAGTGTACTGCTGGTGTTTCCCAGAGCAGTAATACCAAAATACTTTGGTGAGATGGGACTGCTGGAACCTGGGTCTCTGTTCAAGCAGCATATCAGAGGATTAAAGTGATAGATAGCATATAGAATCATAGAATATACACGTTGGTATTATGAAGGAAAATAAATCATATTCGGTCTTCCCTCAGTTTATTTTTTCTCTTTAAAGTGTCGATATATCCCCCTAAGGTTTAGATGAGCTGTGGAACTCATTTTATTCTACGTCAGTGACATGTTTCTGAATGTATGCCAGCATGGGAATTCAGAGTGGATGCACATCTGCTATGAATGAGAAGAGAATTTTTCTTTCGACTTGCTGTCCATCAAGCTTGCATTTGTGCATGTAAGTCCTGTGCTTGCTCTCCAAGGGTAGGAAACGTGAAAATGGCTGGAACTATTCATTGTTACTTGTTACTCTTCGTGGAAGAAAACTGAAATTTGATTGGGATCTGAATTCATAACTGCCAAAGTTCTTGGGTGGTGCTGCTAACGTGTTTTAAGAGCTGTGCTGCCTGACAGTCTGGGTGAAACTGGCATATGCTTATGTAAGGGCACCCACACTGGATGCCAGGCCAAGGAAAGGTCAATTTGTAATGATTGTGTTGAACTCCTTAGAGTAAGGCTAAGGAAAAGCTATCCCTTTCAGTTTCTTCATGTCTTATTCTTTGTGTAAATGATAGATCCATCCCTTTTCCTAAAAGTATAATCTAAAATTATACAGTGCAAGCATGCCAACTAACTGTTGTTTTTCATGAAAGGTCTGTGATGTGGCTGTCAATCACATACCAAAGGAAATGCAGGATCAGTGGCTGTTGTGGTTTGTGTGAGTACCGGGACTTGCCCACTGTCCCCTTTTTACTACTTGTTTTAACTACTTGTTTTTTACTACTTTTACTACCCTGGTTCTCAGTTGAACCAGGCTTTGGGTTCAGTACTCTTTCCAAAGAACTTCTTGGCCACAAGATCAAAAACCATCATCTCTCTTGTAGCATGTGTGATGTTAGTTCTAGGGCCTTTTCCCACAATTTGATGTTGTCTCCACTCTCAGAAAAAGAGGCTGCTCAGAGTGCACAAAGAGCAACTAAAGAGGTGTTCAGTCTTAGATAATTTATCTGACTCAGGAGCTGTGTCAGTCTCATTTGAAAAGGCTGGGAAGCACCTATGTCTCTAGTAAGAATATAACTCTGAGCTTCGGATACCAATATAATTTCCATAGGAATCTGATTCCAGTTCAGATTTGTGAAGCAGAGTGCTTGGTGTGGTGCAGGAGGAAGGCCTTTTGAACACAGTATTATTCTTAGTACTAAAACATTGCATGAATCTGAGTTTGTTTATAGCAAGAGAATTTGAGCACTGCCCAAGCTTTGATTTGTCAGAGCAAGGAATTTTGGTGTTTTTCAGTACCAGAAAAAAAGGCTGAAATAATAGTGATTTTATTTCTGTAAAAAAAAAAAAAAAAAAAAAAGCATCCCTATGGCACAAAACTCTTCTCCCTTGCCAAAACCATGCAACTATTTGCAAATTTCTTTGAGATGGATAGCTAGAGGATCTGCCTTTACTGGAAGGTGTACAGAAGACTGCATGGAATTTTTTTTTCAAATAGAATTTCATATAGCTCAGGGGAAATGGTCTGTTGAAAAATGTCTTCAACCTCCTAGAGTTGTGGGCGATGAAGAATGTAATAGTCAGCTTCCTCTTAAGGTACAGCTTTGAGTCATAGCTGTTTTCTTCCCCATCTAGATGGAGTAGGGTGCAGAGTTACAAAGAGAAATCTCTAGGCTATCTAGGCAGAGCTATCTCTTGACTGTCTAAAATAGCCTCAGCTCGTGTGACCTGGGAAAAGGGAGATTAAAATAAGGATATTATGTGAGTAGGTGTGGGTTTGGTTTCTTTGGGTTTTTTTTTTGGGGGGGGGGGGGGGGGGGGGGTTTGGGTTTTGGGTTTTTTTTGATTGTTAATTCCCATGGGGTTTTGTGTTTGCAAGAATAATTGTAGATTTTTCTGCCTGCACTAATATAGTCCTAAGGAGTGCAAGCTCTATTGTCTCTCACTTGGTTCTCCAGGGTTTTCCTTATCAAACATAATTGCTGATGTGTGCTGTTATCCTGCAGACATCAGTGTAATCATGAAATCCAGTGTGATATTTTTCTGAATGAAGTATCACTTCAAAGAAAACAAAGAGTCTGCTCAGCTTCTGGTTTGGATTGACTCATTTTGCCCACAGTTTTTTTTCTTTTCTATCCACTTGGTGTTTTGTGTGTGGGTGTGTACATGACAAGAGTGTACTGAATGCTGAGCTGTTACATTTTGGTTGTCAGCATTCCGGTATAAAATATTGTCCTATGGGAGGGGAGTTGGTTTAATTTATTCGGGGATTTTTTTTAAGGCACTATGAGGTATTCTGGATGAGGGATAGTAATGATTTCATTATTCCAGCAGAAGTGTTAGTTCTATTATTTGCTTAATTTAAAATCTGAAGAAAATGAGTTAGTTAATTTTTAGGGTGATTTGATAGTATCTCATGCAGACTGGCAATGGCAGGTAGTAAAAATCAGTTTACTCTTCTTCTGTCTCTAATGAATCTTTTCTAGTCCATTTCCTCAGGTTTGTTTTTTCCTACTTCTGAGAGAGAGATTCCTTATTGCAACTTGCTTGTTAGACATAGTTCTGAAGCAGAAGCTGTGTATACACACAAAGTCTCAAAGAGAAAAAATGTGAGAGTTGAATGCTGTCTGTAGACTAAGGAAAAAAATAACTTTGCTGTATTACGTATGACTTGAATGGAAGAAACAGTGAAGGAAGTGTCTTTGTTATGGTGTCTGCTGAGGTTTTTCCTCGCCTTTAATAGCCATATTAGTGGAATTGGCCGTGATTAATACATCTTGTGAATGGAATTATAACTATAGAAATTTGACAATTCAGAAGTCTTGTTACCTAGCAAAGTTATTGCTTTTGTTTTGTGA